TTCCCTTCACCCTAAACTTCTCAATCAGTTGCCTAAGTAGGAAAATAGCCGCAGTTGTTGACCTTCCTGACATAAAATCAAATTGGTTTTCAGATATACTCGTTTCATGCCTTAATCATTGCTCAATGACTCTCTCAGAGCTTCATAGTATGGCTTATAAGCTTGATCCCTCGATAGTTCACACAATTCTGTATGTCTCATTTGTTCTTGTAAATATGTACCACAATACTTTTCCTCCATTAGTCTGGCATTTTCTTTGTTCTTAACACCTTGTTGAACAACTTCGTCAGTCAGTCACTGCCAATTTCCCTCATGCACTTCCAAAGCTCTATCGGGATACCACTGGTCCTAAAGTTTTTTTTTATCTTCATCCTTTTCAAAGCTTCTTTCACTTCCGACATCCTAATCCTACGAATGTATCTATGACCTCTGCTGTCACTTGTGCCAACAGTCCCTTCTACCACTATGTTTCCATTGTGTTCGTCATTTAGTAATTTTTGAAAATAGACTCTCCACCTTTCGTTGACCTCGTCATCCTTCACCAAGACACCTTGATCCTCACTCTTAATGCATTTAATATGGTTTAGATCCATATACTTTTTCTCTCGTATTTTTGCTAATTAATATGAGTGTGAATTTTGAATTCTTCTCGACATTCTTTTTTCCTTCCAATTTTCTTAGATATTTCTTGAAGAGAATAAGTTTAAAATTCCTAGAACATCTCTCATATTTTGTTATTAATTGCCATCACTAAGCCCTTTCAATAAATCGATATCTATTTTTAACTCCGACTAATTCGTGAATTCTCTGCCACTATTTGTAGTGAAGGCAAGATATTCATCTCATTTATTTCGCAAAATTTAAATTCTTTTCTTTTTTAAAACAAAGAACATTGGTAATTCAAGATCTTAAAAAAATATGATGAATAACTGTCATAACTAGGAAATTTTTAAAAATTGTTGAGAAATCAAATTATTTCATATAGACGTAAATTTATTGAAATAAAATTGAAAAATTAAAAGTAAATTGCTCATCTCTTATTGTAGATTGGCATTTATTATGTTTAAATTAAAGAATATTTGTTATATAGGATTTATTTAAAACTTTGATATATTCATTGCCATATAAAAATGAAATTGTTTTATTATAACATAGATTAGTTTAAAGTAAAATAAAATAGATCGTAATAAAGAATTTAAAAATTAGTTAACATTATCAAAAAAAATAAAAAAACTTTAAAATTACAATACATTTTGTAAATTAAGGCTTTGTGCAATGCACGTGCCATGGTCATGTGTGTGTGTATGTCTGTCTGTCTATGTATATGTGTGTGTACACATATATATTATATGTAAATATATATACACACACCTATATAATTATGTGTATGTGTGTGCGCGCATGCACTTGCGTGTGTGGATATGGATAGATAAATAGGTAGGTAGGTATCGGTTTCTCTACCATGTTCAAACTTTAGTTTGTCATACAGAACGTTTATGCATTCTTGGACTGGTGGCATGCATGCTGGTGCATGCATACATAAAGACATATAAAGGGCATATTGTGCTTTCTACGTAGACTGATTGTCGGCATACTGTCATCAATAATTCTCTCATTTTCTTTTATGTTCTTGAGTGGCAACAATTTGTGCCTAAGACTAACTTGTTTTTATTTTTGTCTCATGTCATCTTTATGGTCTTTGCTTTTGATACTCTTTTTCCTTTTTTAATCGACATTATAGTACTAGGGATTTTGATTGGAGTTATTCTGTGTACAATTATGACTGATGCTATTCGTGGTTAGATTCCATTAATATGTTCTTGTCTCAATTGAAGCCCGATTAATTTGTTAGTTTCAAATTGTTTATTCACATGGAAAACCATTTTTTGAAGAATATTGCTTAATTAATGGTTGTTAACAGACTGTTGTTGCTTATTATCACCAAGAGCATTAACCTGAATAAATCACTGTATATGTTCTCAAGCTGGTAAATTCATTTGGATGACGTCCTAGTTAGTACTTTGTAGGTCATACTTGAAAAGGTTAACAGTTCAATTATATTAAGAAAGAGGTATAGTAGGTAAAAAATGAGGCTTCCCACAACCTGGGAGCTCTATAGGGCATCCCCAAAGAAGGGAGTTCTGTACAAAAATAATAAGGCCAACCCTAAAGGGAAGCCCTATACAAAATCACCAGTAAAGAGGTGTAGTTAGATACCAAAAAGCTCCCATGATCAGGCTAGAGTGCGGTAGATGGGTGTCTAAGCCAGAGATGCAGCCTCCTTCGCAAGGGATTCAGCTTTGTGGTTTCCTTCCTGCCATATATACCTCCAAGAGATGTCCATACCCCTGCAAATGTGTGCGATCTCATCAAATATGTGAGCAAGCAACCAAGGCCGAGGAGAGGAACCGGTTCTTGGAGCCCCCCTCGAATATAGAGGGTTAAAAAGTTTGATGCCCTCAAGGAGAGGCATTATTCCACTTGATAACTTATTTTTGTCACTTATACGCACTATAGATGCATGGGCTTGGATGCTTTTGTATTTGGATGTAGTCATGCTAGTTTCACAATTTTTTGATATATACCCATAGAGAAATATTGCAAGTATGTGGCTTGGGCAGCTACTTTTATTTAGCATCCACAGTACTAGTATTCTTCTGCGAAGGACAGGATGCAAAACCATCCATTTTACTTCTCTTTTACTTGAAAGGCTTCTCCTACTGCTATTGTTCAATAAGAATCATATTTCTTTTCATCTTCAAATTCTGATATTCTTTATGGCGTATCTTTCTTTTAAGGGAAATTATTAAAATACCCCTAAGAGATTAACTATTTAACATTTTACCCAATTGCAACTATTCCATCTCGTGACCATGTGTCTTTTTATGGGCGTTTTGAAATTAAAATAAAAGATACGGGTAGAATGTTAAATAGTTCATCACTCATAAGTATTTGGATAAATTCCTGTTCTTTTAATGGGTGTCAGAGTTTTTTCTTTCATTATGTTAAAGTACTGCTGTGTTAGTGTTTGTTTACCTTGAGTTCTTTATGCTCTTCCACATGGTAGTGTTTTTTTACCTTGAGTTCTTTATGCTCTTCCACATGGTTTTTCCTTTGAGAGGACTTCCTAAAAACTAAAGATTGGATAATTGCCCAATATTTAAAAAACAAAAAGTATAGATAATGGAGTCTGATCTATAATGGATGATCATTAAGTTAAACCTGAGAAATGTGCTGACTCAGTCTTCAATTATGTGTTTTCATAGTGAATTCAAAATAAGTTGCTGGTATTCTTAATTTTTATGAGGCTGGTGGGCTGCTCTGGATGGGCTGTTTTTGATAAAAAATACATTTAGAGAGATTTTTTTTATATATCTGTTTACATTTCTGGTGACATCTATCCTTTTATTCGATTTTGCAGACTCCTTTCGAACTTGACTGCACCGTTTGTCCCATTGCAATAAAATACAACAAAATATTTGTGGATGCGTTTTGGAATAGCAAAAAGTACGTATTCTTCTAGTAGAAACCATGGAAATAGGTGTCGACATGTGTGCATGAATTCGTGTTCGTGTGGATATTGCCCTTGTTCCACTTTGTTTATTGTATTTATCAGCTGCACCAACCATATCATACTTTCCTGATTTATGAATTTGTCAGGCAATCTTTTACAAATCACTTGCTCCGGCTTATGACATCATGGGCTGTGGTTTGTGATGTGTGGTACTTGGAACCACAGACTTTGAAACCCGGAGAAACACCTATACAGTTTGCTGAAAGGTACTTAGCATTCTGCTACTTTATTTTTTTTAGTTGATTTGCATCTACTTTTAGACGGGAGGAGTTCTTAATAGAACTATTTGGAGTTTCAAGTTCCTTATTTTCCCATTTGTAGGGTTAGGGACATTATCGCTGTTCGAGCTGGTATCAAGAAAGTTCCTTGGAATGGATACTGGAAACATGAACGGCCTAATCCAAAGCATTCTGAACAGAAGTATGCATTACATATGCCCTTAAGTTTTCTCATAGTAGTAGTTACTACTGGGCTTTTTTCTTTGGGCTTGATGGTTTGAAATTGTTTCCTTCCAATTGATATGTTGTGCTTTTTTATCATTGGTGATGTGTTGTGCTCTCAAAAATGTTCCATGCCAGAACAGCGCTATGATGTTTGTAATCTAAAGCACTCAGACCGGATGCATGCCAAACATGCCTGTGTCTTTTGCAGCTTCGTAGTATATTTGTGAAGGAGTTTCTTATACATTTTGTGATGCCTGAGATAATTTTGTTCCACTACAATTGTTTGTGATTTTAAATTTTTGCACCTAGGTGATCACCATTATCACTTGAGTTTTCATTTACTCTTACTGGCTCCTCACTTGTGCACGTGTAATCTATGTGCACGTATGTGACATTATTCATTCACCAGCTCCTTCATATTTAATCAGGCTGTTTATCAAAGATTATATGGCAGCCAATATCATAATTCTATGAATAGCAAGTTCATATTGTTCTTTGTTCTTATGGATTGCTGATTTGGATTGAAACATATCAGAATTGTGTGGAATCTGACTTTCATTTGTACATCATATTATTAGCCAAATAGAGGGGAATATTTATATCTGGTTGTAATCTATTAGTTGTTTTTGTGTTAATTTCTTTCAGACAACAGGGTTTTGCTGAATCAGTCTTGCGGCGCCTTCAGGAAAGATGATGCTCTCAGGTTTATGACTAGTTGCCCTTACTTAATTTCGCTTGCGTACCTGTATTACTTTTGCTGTTACTATATTGTAAAGCAGGTAGTGAATATTCCTTGCTTTTTAGGGAATGATAAAAAACATGTTTAAGTTTCGTTCCCTAGATTTTACCCTACTCTATTTTTCTTTCTGTTGGCTTTTCTTCACTAATCGCCCCCCTTCAGTTTGTCAATGTGATGGAAGTGTTTAACTATTTGGTTGCTTAATAATGAGTTTACCTTCTTGTCCCATGTCTCTCCATAACTCTCATAATATGGCATTTTCAATGCCATGTAACTGGATAATGTGTTAGCATTATAAATAGTGTTTCAAGACTACAGAATTTTTAGTCTACCTAACAAATTTTCTAACTTAAGGCAAAGCATGGCTTAAGATAAGAGAACGGTTTAGTCCCAAATTGCGTAGAGGTAGGTTTTTCAATGGCTTTTTGAGTGGGAAACTTCCTTGGCTCCATGGGGGCTTTGGAGAGAGAGAGAGAGAGACTTGGGTCTTTCTGGTGCTTTCAACTTGTGTCCATGTTTGAAACTTACGTCTACATGCTCCCACTGTTGGCCTGGTCGTGGCCAAGATTGTGGCTGAGGTTTGAGTTTTGGTCGAAGTCTACCGTTTGGCCGGCAAACCTTTTAATCAAAGTTTGACCGCGGTTTGGGGAGAAGTGAAGGGTTATGCTTCGTTTTGAACTCGAACTTCAATATTACTCTTTGATTATTATGAAAATGGAGAGTTAAGCTCCATTTTGAACTCTAAAGCTTTTTTACCTTGGTTATGGAGTTTGACCACGGTTATGCACTTTTGACATCTTGGTCAAGCATCCCTCGGGGGGTTGCAGTGTATGTCCAGCATGAAAGAGGGATTCCTTAAGGTTTGGCACTCAAGGGCCCAAACGCCAACAATAATGAGATGATATTGAACTTGCTGCATTTCATTAACTAGGATCTATGATCGGTTCGATTTAGGGTTGCAAATTTCAATAGGTCATAGCAGAAGGTCCTCTTTCTACAAAGGACTCTTGAGGGTTGAGTACATGTCATGGTCCCACCAATGAGGTGACACCCATGTAGACAAAAATCGTAGACAACAGGGGTTTTACAATTATTGCCAAATTGCCTCCCATCTCGGAGGGGGATCATAAGAATATCCTTAGTTGAAAGCCAGAGGAGATGACCATGGAGTAGTTTATTACTCATTCCCGCAACGAAGAAGAAACCCAACTCTAAGACATGAAGGAGCTGGGGTCATAAATGCTCGATAGGCCTGCAATTGATCAAAGGCCTTAACAAGAAGTTGATGCATCAAGTAACTGAGATCAAGATCGAAGAACAGAAGGGAGAGAAAAACATTGAGAAACTATAGTTTCCCGGAAGGGGTGCGACAAGAGATCTGGGATTGGGAGCAAGAGTGGGGGGCATGATGGGCTCGAAGTTCTGGGGTAGGGGCAGCAAGGTCCGTTCATTGTCATGTAGAGGGTCTGGATCCTTGGCTTTTAGGGAGCGTATTCCATATTTGCACGAGAGCATGTTTCTTATCTCTATAGGAGCATGTTTCTTAGTGTTCCGCTGTGCATAGGATCAAGATTCTTGAAGTTCATTTGCCCTTGTATTGCAATTTGGGAGTGAATTCCAATGAACAATATGTTTAACTTTATCCAAATTCACAAACCCTAGTAACATTATGTACAAGAATCATTTCATTGAAATTTTCTTTGAATTTTTGTTGTCATCAGAGTATGATTCTATGCAAATAGTGATTACGACCCAAGTGCTTGGGCACAAAAGGAGCTATGTGTCCTTGATCGGGCTATCTCTCTCTCTCTCTCTTTCTTGTGTGTGCAATACAATCATCGGGGAATTTTGTGGACTCCTATTGTTTTCAAATGCATTGGGGAACATTGTGATCATCTCCCTCTTGCACATAGTGACAAGAATAAATTCCCTCAGCAGGTGAAATGGCAAAAAGCAACAAAAGAGGAAGCATTTCTCTGAGGCAATCTCATACTTTTAGTGAAGGAGGCCCTTTTCAACTACAGATTTCAACAGACAGCAATCTCGTACTTTTAGTGAAGGAACCCCTTTTCAACTACCGATTTCAGCAGACAACTTGATTGCGGTGTATTGTGCTACTTATTCATTCAATTCCCATCTCGGCTATTGATAGTCGATGCTAGGTTAGATTTCCCATTTCAATGACAGTTTTGGTTTATTATGATGTGTGGCAGCAATGACTTGACTTGTTGGATGCAATCTTCGGGGCAGAATGTTTGGCCTTATCTAATTTTCTGTAGAGAGATAGAGAGAGAGAGAGGTTACTATTTTCTTTTTTTTTTTTTCTTTTTCTATTTTTAATTATTTTGTGGTTGCCCATAATCATAATTCAGAGAGTGAGAGAGAGAGAGAGGGGTAAGGGAGGCGGGGGGGCTATAAGTCACACGATGGGCGAGAGAGAGTTCACGCCATGAGCAAAGAGGGCAGATGTAGCCCTTTCTTCTTTCTTTTTCTTCGTTCTCTTTTGGCATGGTTATCTATTCGAGCTGCAAAATAAAGAATTAAAAGAAGGATGAAGATAGCGTCAATGTTTTTATATTTGTAATTATAAACAAAACGATAATATACAATTAATTCCACTGCCCTTCCACTTTCTATTCCATAAACCCTACCAACACGAGGGGTTAATTGTGTGAGAGAGAGAGACTATTCCTTAAGAATTGCCTGATTTAGAGAGAGGATATTATAAAAAAACAAGTAGAGGGAATAAAAAAAGGACATGCAGCCTATCGAGAGAGGGAGGGAGGGAGAGGGAGACCCTATTTCATAAGAATTCCCTACTTAGATTAACTGTTTGAGAGAGAGAGAGAGAGCATTATAAGAAGCGTGAGGTTTGCATAAGGTGTGAACCTTAAACAATCATGGTAAGGTGCCCCTCAAAATCTCATTAAAAAGATGTATTTTCGGTGCAAGAATTCTTATCATTCCTTAAAAGTTTAATTTCACCCTTTACAATGAGAACGAAAGCTTTACAAATCTAACGGATCTATGAGCGGTTAAAAATAGGCGGTCTAGATGACATGTTTCAAGATGCACCATCTTTTTCGTTTACTGTGTTAGATGCGCCTCGTTGACACGTTATATGACCTTTTCCTTACAAGAAAACAAAGGAGAGAGAGGGAGAGAGGGGAGAGCATTATGAGAAGAAGTACATACAACCTATAAACGTGTCCTTTGCTGGTCCTCCGAACGGCTTGGAGGCTCTGAGCGCCACCGTTGACATGTGGAGGTGCCTTGATTCGGTAGTTGACATGTGGAGGAGCCTCGATTAGGTAACCGGTACATCTACGCATGGATCACCCATTGGGGCGTCACTAAATCTTTGGGCTCATAAAGAGTAGTCGGGAGGCAATAGGTCTCAATGGTGGTCGAAGAGGTACAATCTGTGTCAGCTCAGCGCTGTCTATTGCCACCAAAGTACCAATATTTGTATTTGAGATGGTCGTCTTTAAGATGAGCATCCAAATTCATGTATTGTATTTTCATAACATGATCACAATCAACAACCTGACATTATGATGGGAATACACCCATAATTCTGAGAGATCCACATTCAGGTGGTTGCGTTTCACACTATGAATATAGCTAGAGGAGTTCCAACATCTCTCCACATGGGATGAATTGATGCTCTGGGATAAACACCCTTATTGCAATTGAATACAACTCTAGAGCACCTCCACCGTATAAGTTCTACCATGATGCAACTCCTATAATGCGGTTGTGGAAGTTGCTAGAGAAAAAAACCCCTCTATTGTCAACAAAATCACTTATTTGTTGTGGCGCTCTCCCCACCCCATGTTGACCACGTCTAAGACCAACATGTCTAGAGCAGCATGGTAACAAGATGACACTTCTTTATCATGGTGGGGCTTTACCCCTTGATGTAGGGGTATGGGAGTAGTACTTGGTACTAAACCGGGATGCTAGACAAAACAACAGAAGATTTGAATGGCCCCATCAATTAACAACAAATTCGTTAACTCACTGAAGTAATATCTAACTCGCTGGAATGGAATAATATAATCGTACATGGCCACTATTATCTCACCGATATATTGTCCATGTGCTCATATTCAGTTTATTTTCTCATTTTTTGTCAAAAAATTTCATCCATAATCACTCTGTGAACCTCACCATGCTCAATGTCTATTGGTCCGCGTTTAAGATCAGCCCAATGCCCACCCAATATAAGAGATTCTAAGGCAATTCTAAACCCCATAAGCTTCCACAACATGATATAGTGATAATGGAATCGTCTTCTTTGATTTAAGGAGCTCAAGGTTGACAATAGTCTTAAATACGAACAATATGGTCCCAGATATACTTCACCACCCTCTTTGCTTCCTTGCAATGATTCCTACCAAATTAGAATGCCAAATTTTTCCGTTTTTTTGTTTTTTATCAACAATTATCTTTCATTAGTGAGTTCAATGTGTGAGCCAAGCAACCTATCCAAAAATAATGAGGATGGCAACGGTGAACTATGGTACCAGCACCTTTGCAATTTGTAGCATTGTCAGTCACATTTTGGACTACATTATAATGTCTATTGTTGTCGATGGTGCTCAAAAGAATTTATGCAATATTTCGTCTTGTAACGTGGCTTTTCCACCAGACACAATATAGATCAAATATTCATTCTTAATTTACTCCACCCATAAAAGAAAATTGAAACTCCATAGCTTAGCCCATTCGTTCTTTAGCACACCTAATTCACCGTCAATCTTACTCCACTCTTTATCCAAGAACAATGTCCTATGCCTTTCGTACTTTGGATTTGTTAGTATTT